CACCATCCAGCCGGCTTCTTTAAAAGGAGTCAAGAATCAAAATTAGCTCAATTTTCGTCTTTCCAAAAATTCAAGCTTGCGTAAGAAGCCAATTCATACCCAGAGATGTCTCCCCGTATATCATGCACGTAGGTGAGTGACGACACCGGAAGCACCACTATCTATTCATTAGAAATCATTCCGCTGCCCCCATCTCCCCCGTCCCAAAATTCTACATGCTACTTAAAATTTAGGAAAAGTATTCTGCGCCTCTGTCAAGATTACTCCTTCACGTAAGGCAGGAATAAAGGGGACATATAAGGGCTCGTCTTCCTTTGTTAGACACAACATTGTCACTAACATTATTACATCCACATTATCATTATGTAAACAGAAATTTGGGAACGGCAGAGATAACGTGGCCCCTATAAATGCTAACCTTTCGGCACACCGTATGCATTATGGCTCCTGTTTGATAATAAAGATAGTTTACTCCAGCGTACCCTCAGCGACTGGCCAAATATACTGTTCGAAAGTGTCTGAACGATCCGTCAAACAGCAGGTTGCTACATCAGAGACAGCGCCACTTTCGTGCTCGCGGGTAAGAAAAAGAGGAATGCGTGAGATGATGCGACAACTCGTATACACTTGTACGCGGCGTGCAAAATGGCGCGTCAGGCCAAACAAGGCAGGAGTTTCCTTTTAAAGCATATAGGGGCATCCAAGGCACGTAGCGGCGTAATCCGAGTTGCCGATCTAAAAGGCTACTGTCCATACAAATTTCTTTTTAATATTCGTACCAACGGATAAATCCAGACATCGGCGTCCGGCATCAATCTTGGCGATCGATTTCGAAAAATCTTTTTCTTTTGGTCAGCCATATGGTTGCTCTTGCCAGCAAACCATTGGTTCACGTTGCGTGATGCCGTGTGCACGTCATGGATGCAAGCTGCTCTGACACGAAGTTTAAGCCATCATGAGCGACAGTGTGCCTAATCTTGGTACTCAGAGCATACGATAGTAGAAGCTCAACCATAGTACAATGAAACGCAGAAAAGCTCACGCAAACTTTTTTGTATACTGTGTACCTCCATATCTTTTAAATCGCTTACTCCCAGCGTAAGATAGTGAAGCGGAAAGGCGTCTGACATTCCTGCTTTTTCTTCTTTTTCCTCTTCTTAACCATAGCCAAGCAGCCACAAACTCGAGAAGCTCGGCTTTACTGCGTGCTTGCATATATAAAATTTAAATGACTATACGCGAAATATGGCGCCACTAGACGTGCTAGTACACAATCGTCACGACACAAACGGTCATTGTAAAAGATCGTAGGACCAGCTTGAACCAGCCAGCCCAAATTCGGACTCGGGTTAACCTACATTTATTGTCTTACTCCTTACTAAACACTGCAATATGCGTATTTACAACATGATAGTAATCAAGAAGAATAGTTTTTGCCGGTGTCCTGTAAATAAATGAGTGAAGGGCTACTATTTACAACTCCCAACCCCACCAAAAAAAGAACAAAAAAATAGAGCTTTGTTATAACTTACTGGGGAAAAAACATGCGACACGACGTAGATTCCATATTATTTTACACAAACGCATATCAGAAAGAAAATCAGATATCCATAGCTGGGGCATGATACGTAGCCTCACCATGACTACAACAGGGAGTAACGCCGTGGTCGAGCCATATGGATGACCTGATGTTTATTCCCGAGCAAGAGGAGACAAAGAGAAGTCGAAGAAAAAGCTATTGTAAGTCGATGGCCCAACATAATGATCCGGCGAGAGATTACAATAGAAAAAAGAGAAAAATGCAGAAAGAAATAGTCGTGTGCGGAATGAGATGGCGAACAGGCGAAACGAAAAATAGTAGTCGCGCGGAACACAAGAGTAGGCTAAAAAAGACGCGAAAGCGTCAGAGTAATGTTAAAGCGAGAACTACAAGCAGCGAGCAAAACAGTCCGTCTCGACGACCGGCGATCGTAATAGGCTGGCTATGTTCAATTAACGCTGCAAGATCTCTTTAGGAACAACAACAAAAACACTCTGGGCCAGAGATCGGGGACGCGAGAAATATCGGAGAAAATATACGAATGCAAAGAAAGATGTTTGAGAGGACCGTTATTACGACGCCTGACCGCGCCCCAATAATTGAAATGATACTGTTCAGTGGAGGAAAGGGCCGACTCAATGGGCCCAGAAAGCAATGAAGGCGCACCGGTTTCTCCTATTTTCGCTGCTTTACTCGGCAGCAACCTGGGAGAAAACAAAAAAAAAATTGCCAAAGTAATCGCATTTACTTTAATCTGACGGAAACTGGTGTCGCAACAATAACGACCTAGGCGGCTCTTGCAAATCACCCCCCTGCCTATTTTTTTTCCTGGCCCTTGTTTCAGTCTGCTTGAAAGATATTAGACGATATACGAAGAGGATAGGGAGCAAAGTTTCCGACATTGCAAGAATGCCCAGAGTAATTGAAATAAATCATAGCAGTGCTCCAAAGGACACTGCAAGGTTTGCGCACTAACTGGAAGACTGTTTCTCATATGGAGCACCGAAGAAGCGTCGCAAGTTAATGTATAATACGTGCTGTAACTTTGTTTATTAGTTAGCCTTGTCGATGGCTGAAAAAATAGTGTTAAGTGTTTTTGTTGCAAAGTGCGAGCTGAGATTTTCGCTTTCTCCTTTCAAGCAGCAACGACGGCTTGTATAGGGGGCTTTCAGAACTTTAATTCGTTAATGAAATCGGCATGCTTTAACGAAGTGGTTTCTAAACTTCTTTCGGTCAGTGGATCGCTATAAACGTGAACAGACCCCTATAAAGACTATGTTGATGTTTTTTTGTTTTTTTTTGTTCGAAAGTGTTTGTTTAATCACATATACCGATGAATATAAAAAAGAAATGAAATGTTATAGGGTCAACTGTGCAACCTCTATGTAAAGCTATCGGTGGTCTAGTGGCTAAGCCAGTCGGTTGCTTACCGGCAGGTCACGGGACCGAATCCCGGCCGCGGCGGCCGCATTTTCGATGTGGGCGAAGATGGTTGACGCTCGTGTGCTTGGATTTGGGTGCGCGTTAGAGAACCCCAGGTGGTCGAAATTTCTGGAGCCCTCCACTATATGCGAAGTCTCTCATATGGCGCTTTTGGGACGTTAAACACTAACAATTATTATTATTATTATTATTATTATTATTATTATTATTATTATTATTCAGCGTTCAGTAAAAATCTCAAATTATTTTAAACACAATTACGCTTGTTGTGTATAACACAAAATTTACCAACATAAATTAACTTTCCTGTTTCCCGCCTATTCGAGATAATTCTAGATGTGGAAATGCACTACCATTTTACAAAACCAGTACGAAGTGCAACCTAAAAAGCCACCGCGAAAGGTAAGCGTTTGTCTGTAAACATTCGGCCCGTTCAATACGCAGAGTGGTTATCGGGCTGCTCAGAAATTTCAAAACATGCCTTTTTTTTTTGTTCTGGAAGAAATAAAGATACAACCACTTGCGGTGATCAACACTGTTATTGTAGTTAAGCTAAAATAATTGAAAAGTAGAACAATAATCGCAAAAGAAATTAAATTTTAGAACCGAATAACAATATGTCACTAATTAGGCGTATAATTTTACACGCATCTTGCAATTGGTTAATTACAACCTACACGCGGTACCCGCTAACCATACCTACTTGCAACTCATCCGACAGATGGCAGTGGTTTCGATAAGCTTATAGCAATCAAAAAGGAAGCAGTAATTTTTTTTTCACATTTAGTGCACCAATGTATAGGGCGGTCTCTTGCTTTGAAAAGCAACAAAATTTAGTTGCACACTGCAAGTTTGATGACAGATACATGAAAACAATAAATCCAGGTGCCGTAATCAAAAATTTGTTTCAAGTAGACGTGTCCTCAAAACCCGCGGGTGGCGATTCGCAGAACTATGTGCGAGTTGTGAAGACAGTAGGCAAAAGCTTGGGGAATATTCTTTACTTGTACAATTATAGTTTTCAGTTTATTGGCAAAAAAACGCATGCCTCTTCGAGTAGTATAGATGAAAAATTAAATCGTATGCTATACGTTGCTGGCAATTCATTAAGGTGAAGAACAGATAAAAAGGACACAAAGTATTAAGCAACCGTATCTCGCCTCAGTTTAATTACCCATTTGAATAGTCAACAGTATAAATATTGGTCTGGCTAGCTCGACAAAGCTGTAGCAAAAATCGTGCATGCTGTTCATCAATAATGAACAGTTCAAAACTGATGCGATGTGTCATTTCTTATAAGATGCCCGTTTGCCTATACGCAATGGCTCATTGTTAAGTCACATGATATTAAGGCCATCCAGGTATGTTGTAGAAGTATACCCTTTGTTAAATAAAAGTGTGTCACTTTTGCCAGGTTGATCTATACTGAATATTTTCAGATCTTTTTTGTAAACAACAAAAAATGAAGCAGGATAGGAGGAACGCTGATTGACAATGGTCACACTGCAGCCTCTCGCCTGTTCTGGTGTACAAGAATTAAAAACACTCAAGTCACAACGCGTTACTCTCAGAGTGAATCAGTGCTGGCAACTTGCCTGCAGCGCCTACGCAACGTCTCATGCTAACTTCGGTAACGATCGCAAGCGGGCCACACATTTATTTTGTTCTTCATTTTTCAAATGGACACACTTCTAAAGGGACGTGGCATTACCCCACCGTGGTCGATACGGCAATCATCCTGCTCTTTCTCTGGAGGTGAAGTGTACGACTAAGCAGAAGCGAAAAAGAAAGCCCAAAGCGTACCCATGAAACTCTTAGAGAACTAGAAACAACTCAGCAACAATTCGAACCTGAAATGCAAAAAAGAAGCTATATTCGCGTCACAGGGAAAGAGAGGGGGGATACAAGGAAGCATTTTGTTTTTCTCCGTTTGCCTCTTTTTGGCTATTTTCTTGCTTGAATTGATTGTTTTTTGTCCGTAAAGAACATTTTCAACACGAAAAAGAGCTGAACTCACCATTTCCACGGAGCCATAATGGCGCCTGCTGAAGACTCCTCTCCTTGCAGCAAGGTCAGTCGATGATGAACTGCACAGAAAGAAGACGGAGGACATGTATAAGGACATGATACCACAATGGCTGCGAACAAGGGAGACATTTGGTGGTCGAAATAGAAAGAAACGATCAAGTCTTGGACATCTAGGTCAGCTGCAAAATCTCCGCAGCCTACGTAAATAAGGCGTGACTGCCTCCAGAAAAGCGGAGTCGCTTTATGAGCGTCCGAAAATGTGACACAGAGAGCAGCACGACATCTTTCACCACGCCAAGGTAACCTTGAAACTATATTCTTTGTTCATTTGTTTTTAAGCTTTCCACCGAGAAGCAAGTAAAGAACTCATAAGACGGTCCGAAAACGTCGCTGTACTCTCTAGCTGTGTAGATACTACAGACTCGGACAGGATAGCGAACTAACGGGATATCACGGGCCAATAAATTAGAGGGGCTTTGAAGCGTAGCACAGTTGAGCGGTAGTGCGTGCCTCGTGTACCCTTTAAACACCCGAAAAGAGCACTTCCATACTCTAGAAACTCTCGCGTGTGTCTGTGTAGTTTGACCGCCGTCACACTGAAAACAAAAGCTTTCTCAGAACGACCCATCGATGACTAAACGCTGCGGGTTTTTACGCGAAAGTGGTGGCGGACATGTAAGATACGGTCTTCAGCAGAATATACCAATAGGCGCTTTCATTCAGCCACAATCGGTTCATGATATAAAGCTGCGTAAAAATAAACAAGTACATAAATAGAGAACAAAAACGTAGAAAAAAAAATTGAATCATGTACAGGCACTACAACTTATACAGATTGCAGTCAGAAGACGCGCTTAGTCGTATATACGTGACCTTGAAAGCTAACATGGGAAGTGGCTCGAGCTACATATTTTCGTTTGCATCTTTAAAAACATATTTCTTGACTTTGTATACTAAATAACCTTATTCAGCGGGCGGGGCGCGGCTGCGGCGGCTGCATTTTCGATGGAGGCGGAAATGCTGTAGGCCTGTGTGCTCAGATTTGGGTGCACATTAAAGAACCCCAGGTAATCGAAATTTCCGAAGCCCTCCACTACGGCGTTTCTCTTAATCATACGGTGGTTTCGGGACGTTAGACCCCACATATCGGTAGCTCGTCGGGCGTTAGCAAAGTTGGAAACCATCCGATGCATGCGCCTTTGTGTCTTTAACGTGAAAATGGGAGATGCGTGCGCGATGCGTTCGTTAAACTGAAGGACGCTTTTGATGTTCTCGATTGATGTGTCCCCATTCCTTTTATATTGGCTGAAGGCAATGCTTAAGGGCCGTATCGATCAGCGGTGTGCTCGCACAGTTAAAAAAAGGAAGAGAAGGGGGGGGGGGGGGGGGGCGTTTGGCAAAACAATGTTCGCGTTCCTTCTGCACCAAAATAATTGGAACGTTGTGATATAACTTCATAGGATGCGAGAAACAGTATACTCAGAAGTTATTCAGCTTTGCCGGTGGAAGATCAGTAACATTCGGTGGGAAAAAAACAGCAATATATATATATATATATATATATATATATATATATATATATATATATATATATATATATATATATATCCCTAGAGCTCCCGCAGTGCTGACGACGGGGAGAAAAATGATGCATTCGAGCTGATAAAATTTCAATCCCAGTGCGGCACCGGGGAGACACCGCCAGATAGAACAGGCAGCTCAACTTTTAAAGTTTAATGAACGTTTCGAAGTTTGCAGTAAGGCATAAAAAAGTCTACTTGAAAGCTTCGCGATACGCGACGTAAAGGTTGCGAAGTAAACACGTTAGAGGCTCCGTAAATGATGTACCAAAGTATTTCGAGATGAACCCAAACACCGAAGTCAAAATCAGAGCAAAAAGAAACGCCACCGAAAAAAACACGTTGTCAATGGCTTCGATACTTTCGCGCAGATTTGAGGGCGTTTCAGGGCTTTCTTAGTCTGTTTTTAGACTTTTTTTTCTATCATAGACTGACATACTATATTCACTTCCGAATGCATTTAAATGCGCACAGCGATCCCAGACTTCTCTTGTTTGTTTTTCGTGTATCATTTAACAAAAAAAAAAAAAGCGGGAGTACGATTTTCTAAACCCACGCATGTCTGCAACGAAATCCGCTGTGTTGGAAGAAAAAGCGAAAAAAGAAGGAATTAAAAAAGAAGCACGCATTCGTACCACCAAGTGCGGGGAATAGGTGCTTGCGCCAAGGTCGCTGCACGGGCCACTAGATCACCGTTCGATCGACCATCCGCGAAATGGTCCGCCGATCGCGTACTAAGCGAGGAATGAAACTCAGGCAATGGCAACCCATCTCCATAGGATTCACTTTTACCCTGTTTTAGATAGCGGAACAGCATTGAAGGCTTCGTACGTGTTTTTACTACGTACTCTGCATGTTATCTCATGTTATTCTTTGTTTCTCAGTTGCTCTTTCTAGAACAGTCGCCTTGCGGAATTGCAAAGACCGCATTAACAAAGCAAGCTATTACAGATATATGTGAAAAGGTGATTGGAGTGTCGGCGAGATCAGATGCTAGCGATTCGCAGTAGTGGATGTATTAAGGAAAGCGGTTGGTCGTATAGAAGATATGGAACGAGAAAACGCATCAGCATAGGAACCAAATTTGCCAAATTTCACACAGACCGTAATACTGGCACCACTATCAGGCTATGCGTTCTCAAAAGTGTATTGGGATACACATTCGCCTTTCAGCGAACAGTTTCACGAAGCATGTTTCAGAGAGTTAAGGATGATTTTAACTGTAACTTGCGCGGTATTCGGGCCGTATTGTCTTCTACTGTGATATTGTATGAATGATAATATTAATATTAATAATAATAATAGTAATAATAATAATAATAATAATAATAATAATAATAATAATAATACCACTGCAAATATTTTTACATATTTGTAATAATTAACGCTTATTATTATCTAGACACTTTATTTTTACAAACATGTACCCCACTCGTTGTTATAATTGCGGTCCACGCACAATCCTACATTTCGCGAGTTTATACTGAGCAACAACCCAATGCTCGATGGCATGTCATCCACTGTGGATACGCACAGTACATTTGATCTTAAGGCTGTCAAGAACAGAGAGCAACAGCGAATCTAGCCACGACGGAATCTTTGACGACATTGCGACGAGATTTGCTTGGGTCGGTTTGGAGCGGGACGAACGGTGACACCGATGGACGCGTTCCAAGCGGACGCGTCACGCACGTTGGTGCTTCAGGTCTCGTCAGCTCACTTGAAAATAGAGCGTGCGCTGTTAACGCGCCAGAATCACCGTTCGCGTCGGCGGAAGCCTTGGCCTGCTTTAGCACAGCGAGACAGGATGCTGTGCGCTCAGCAAGTTTCGAGAGACGGCTTCGCCGAATGTGCTCGCACGCTGTGGTCCTCAGGAGTCGTCCACGTGGAAGGCTGCAGGCTCGAAGCCGGGAGGAAAGATATGCTCCTCGACACAGTGGTCATTATGTTCGCGATACATTTACGCATGCGCGACACGGCACGCAATTGCGGCGTTGCACACCCCAAGCGCTGAGCATCGAATCTAACCTGCTGAATAAATTATAACGCCTCTTCATTCAGTGAGCTTCTAGCCGAAGCTCTAGACTGTTCCTAGCATTAATGCGGTTTCAGCGTTGATGAGGCCATTTCTTAGAGCACAACGTAAAGCAATTCAGTTTTGCGAATTACTGGTAAGCGTTCAAATGAACACTAGTGCATTTCTCTTCAGAATTTAATGAGGTACTTTTCAAAGCAGTTGCTCAGCACAGAATTTGTCTTAAATGCGCATGACTTTCTCTCTGCTGGGCTCCCAGTCCGCATATGCGACATGTATTCTAAAGGAAATTATTTTGAAGAAACTGATTGAAATTTTGCCAATTAACTCTCGAACTTGAAATTGCGATTTGTCGTAGAACTAACGTGTGCAACTTTGTCAACAATACAGCGAATGTCGCAGTGTTGTAATTAGTCACATACCATTATTCGCCCCGCCGCAGTGGTCTAGTGGCTAAGGTACTCGGCTGCTGACCCGCAGGTCGCGGGCTCGATTCCCGGCTGCAGCGGCTGCATTTCCGATGGAGGCGGAAATGTTGTAGGCCCGTGTGCTCAGATTTGGGCGCACGTTTAAGAACCCCAGGTGGTCAAAATTTCCGGAGCCCTCCACTACGGCGTCTCTCATAATCATATGGTGGTTTTGGGACGTTAAACCCCACAAATCAGTCATCAATCACATACCATTATTCAGGTGAAATAACGACGTTGCTGCCCAAAACTGACCATCTGACTGAGAAACACGTGAACGCACACATGCGAACACACAAACGCGCACATGGACGCCCACACGCACGCACGCACGCACGCACACGCAACTGTGGAATCAAAGCTCCCATTTGGCTGCATACCATGTCATAAAACTACATTGATTCCTGTTACGGCCACGAACAAAACATTGGGGACTTTTCATCTCTTTCGCTTACCAACCAACAAATACATATTAAGATCTCGTACACTAATGAAGTGAAGAGCGTTCAGCAAAACAAAATTAATTGACTTTTTGAGTGCACTCATGGAAAAAAAATGCCTTTTACTTTTGTGCTTTTCTTACTATTTCTCATTTTTACGCTCGTGTCTCAACTGGGCTATACATACGATTTCGACCTGAAGTTCCTGCCACGTCCCGCATTCATTCAAAAACAATTCTGAAGCTCAAGTAATCAAGTGTTGTTGTTTTTTTTTCCATCGATGGTTCATTGTGCACGTACATTATGTGTGTGCGATACTTGATCGCATCTTCCTCTGTCGACCATTGACTTTTCAACAATGCCGTTCATCGAGAAGAATGGCGAGCTAAATCTAATGCAGTTGTGGCAGTTTTTACTTATTCAGTTTTGGCAGGGCACATGTCTGCGACCGCGCTATAATGCGCACGGCGGCACAGAAAACTAGGTGAGGCAGATCGAACTCGGGTCACTTAGAAGTGTGGCAGCTTGGGCTAGTTG